AGCCTGGAGGGCTACGAGCGGCTGGGGCCCGCATCTGCCGCGTCAGCTTAGCAGCATAGCCCAGGGTTCCTGGCCACCAAGAACCGGCTCATCGTCGGGTCTCAACAGCTAGTTATTAATTACCTATGGATCTGTCTTTTAAAACCCCCTTCCAAAGAAAATCACACACTAAAACAACAACAAAACCTACCAAACAAAAATAAAGTAACCAATTGCAACGGAATAAATTTGTAAATTGCTCCATGTGCGGAAACTTGAAGGAGAGAAAGCGAGAGGGATGTGTCTAAAGGCCCTGGCATCCAAAACACTATTTGACCCAAAAGCTCCTAGGGGTTTGAAATAGCTCAAAACGAAAACCCATCCATGACTCTGAAATTTTCATAAAGGAAAGCGTCCCGGAGATTGACTTTTCCAAAGAGAAAGTAACTCAACGGTCCCTAGGAGATAGTGACCTGAGAACATGGAAAGAGGTAATTTTATAATCCCGTAATTTTCTGTTTTGAAGGCAGGGCAGATGTTGTCAGTCTGGGATGCGAGCAAATAGAGCAGAGCTCCGGTTGCTGCCTGTTGAGAGGGTGCCTTCAGGCTCCGGCCCAGGTGCCTTTACCAGGCACTGCCTACCGACTACCGAGGCTGGGCCACAGCCAGAGTGCCACCCCCAACGCCATCACTGCCAGCCTGCTCAGGGCTAGGGGCAATAAGATCTGTAAGCTTAACGAAAAAAAAGAGGACGAAAGAGCTCCATTCCGGGAGCGAGCAGCTGGTTCATCAGTGAGACCTGCTCTGGGCGCCAGGCGAGTAGGGCTGCAGGGCAGACCAGAAGCCGAGAGGCAGGGCCAGAGCGGCTTGGGCCAACTGGACCTCTTATGGCTCCAGGTGGTCAATTGGGAGGGTAGGGCTTGAGGCCCCAGCAGTACACCGTTGGGGACGATTGGACCCAGAGGTAAACTGACCCTTCTGGAGAAAACCTCCTCTCCACTCCCAGCCCCAATTTCGTTTTTTGCCGAGAAAGATGCAGACCCGGTTCAAGTGGGAGCTGAGATTAAAAAAACAAAAACAAAACAACACCAACAACAGAAAGAAAAGAAAAGAAAAACAAAGAGCAGCAACAGAGTGGGGCTAGAGGGGGCTCCACCCTGGACCCACTGGGAAATACAGACACTCCGATGTATTGGACCTTGCTCTGGCTGCCCCTTCTGGGACTCAGCTTCCCCATCGCCACAATGGCTTTGGGGCCTCTCCACGCGGAGCCACTCCAGAATCCTGTCGGATTGGTGCCGGGGCAGGAGAAGGATATGGCTGTAGGGGAGGAGGGTCTGGAACTTGCACACGGATGCTTAAAGAGTTCGGTTATGAGAATGGAGTGACCCGCTTCACCTCCCGCCCTGCCGCTTTCCCCGGGTTGTGTGGTCTGAGGGACAGGGCCCTGATGGGAGATGCATTTCCGCGCTCCAACGGTCCCCACCCAGTGTTTGGGTGGCTCAGAGGATCCCCCTGCCTCCCAGGGCCCCTCGTCTCCAGCCGCCAGGGAGAACTCCTGGCCTGGGGCGCTTAGGTCACCTTTTCCACCAAGCCCGACGCAAGCGGAGGGTTTCCGGGATTTTCTAGGCGGCGGCGGGCGGCTGGAGGCCACTAGAGGGGAGGATCCCAGCGTTGGGCCCTGGGACTTCGTCCTTTTGGTGGCGTTCGCAAGCATGACTACATAACCCTGGAGAGGAGGCTTCTGTCCTCTGGGCCTTGTTCTCCACAGGGAGGGGAAGCCTGTTCTCAGCGAACCTATTTTCCGGCCGCCAACCCTGCGATTCCTGAGCCGAGGAAGCCCCGCCGCTGTTAGTGTGCAATTTTCGCCTAAAAGGGGTTTATCTGCAGGTTTGCCCTGGGATCCGGCAGCACGGAGACTGCGTGCGGGGCGGGGTGGGCACTCGGGGCAGACACGAAAGGGAGGTGCTTCAGGGAGGTCAAGAGAGAGAAGGGATGGTCAGCTGGTTCTTTCGGGCTCCGGAGCCAGGCGAGGTCTTGAAAGCTTCTGCAGCGCAGGGCATTTCCTTCCCAGCCCCCAGGGCCTCCTTTTAGGCGGCTACGCCCCGCCCGCGCTGCAGGTCTCGCGTGGGGCGCAGGAAACAGCCCTGGCTGGTATCCAAAGAGCCCGGGAGGCACACCTGTGGAGTGGAGTGGAAGTGGGGCTGAGGTGCAAGTCTTCTGACCCCCCCCAAATCGAGAGATGAGGTCTCCATCCTGAAAATTACCCACCTTCTCCATAACTAGTCCAAGGAACTACTCTAGGAGGCTGACTGACAGGTGGTAAAATAGTTGTGGTGACAGCTGGTCAACAATGTGATACTCATGTCCTTTGATCTGCTACCTGAAAACTCATTTTGAGGAACTGAGACTCCGAAGGTCTTCAGAATGGGACAGAGACGGTTCAAATTTGAGTGGCTTCTGTTAGGACTTATATGAGGTGAGGGCATGGGGTAGAGGCTGGCTGAACCTTCCTTCAGGAGAAACCACTCCAAGGCTATGCCCCTTAGGAAGATGTGGAAGCAAGGAGGAAGAAGAGAAGGCTGGTGGGACCTACTGGCATCAGGGAAGGTGAAACCAGGATAAGGGGCATGATACTGGTATTGTACACAAAGCAATAGAAACTGAGATCCCTGGAAGTCCCTTCCTTTCACTGGGCCTTAGTTTCCCATCTGAGAAAGGAGGTGGTTGAACAGGGTGATACACAACCACTCCTGGAGAGAGGGGTTCTCTGAGCCTACTTATGGGCAGAGGCACATCAGGACTGCCCCAGGGCCTCCAGAGAGAAACTGGCTTACCTCTATTTGCTTGGTGGGAGGTCATTGGCTGCTGGGCCCACTGTCTCTCCATCCTTCACTAAGAAGCTTGCTCAGTGGATAGGCTGGGATGCCACTGTGCTTACTGGGTCTTTCACCACTCCTCTAAAAAGCCATTTTGACTCATAGCACCAACCACCCAAGGACACTGAAACAACTGGAAGCCACTGAGGCCAACTTCTTTCAGTCCTAATGATGACCAAGGTTCAGACAGTCAAGCCACAACTGGGGAGGGGAGGCAGCAGGCTTTTAGGATTTGGGTCTTGCCAGAGTAAGACATGGTTTGTTCCAACCCCAGCTCCAATGGACAAAGGGTTTTGGATACCTCAGAGGTCCCCCAGAGTCTGGTGCAGGTGCCAGGGGCCTAGGACCAGACTGAATGCTTCCCTGAGAGCTTCAGGAGCTGGAGGATCTATATCATCTTGGAGAGAAGCAGGGCTTTAGGTGTGGTAAGCCTTATTTATCAGTGAGGTGAAGACTGAGGCCTCATGTAGAGCTCACATAGGAAGTAGAATTGGCCCATGAAACCAGCTGAGTGCCAGACTTTGGCAGTTGTTGATGGAGCTGGAAGTTAGGAACTATGACTTCCTAGAGAAGGAGGGAGATGGTCGGATTCCACGCCTCCTCCCCATATTCCTGCCCTCATCACCTGGAGGAACTGTCCTTTCTCCAAACAGAACTTGTGGGGCCTTGAGGGTTCAAGAATCCCCCTCACAGCTTCACTGGAGTCGTGAAGTGAGTGCATCTCTCAAGTGTCAGTATCTCTGGATAGGTCAAGGAACTGAGGCCCAGAAAGAGGCAATGGTTTGACCAGCTATGGCAGGGCAAAAGAGAGAAACTCTTTAGAGAGTGCAGCTTTGGTTTCATTCACTCCATGGTTTGGGCTTCTCCTCTCCTAATGATGAAGGGAAGGATCTAGAGAAGGTCCTGGCAATTTCCTCAATTATGTTGGAGAGTTTTGAGGCTTAGGGTGGAGCCAGGTCTCAACAGAGTTTGGTCCCCAGACTCTCAAAGCACTCCTGACCACAGATCCTCTCTGTAACAGTTTCTTGACAGCTGCAAGCTGGGAAAAGGCAAAACTCGCCCTTTCTTTTTCCTCATACCCATTTCCTTCTCTAACTAGAGAGACATAACCCAGTCCACACCGTCCTGGGGTTACCAAGGAGGATGTGTTCATGTATCACTTGAATTTGCAATTCAGGCAAATCCTGGCTGGAAAACTTTGTCCTCTGAGGATAGTTCGGGACAAATGAGGCCATGCCTGGTAAACCGAGGAGAGGGTGGTGGAGGGGCACACAGGTGCGGCTGTCCGCCACTCTGCGAGTTGCAACCCTTCATGCTGCTGTATCCCTGCGGGTCTGCAGGAGCCCTGCGCCCTCAACAGGAGGCTGTGCATGGCCACCTCCTTCCCAGATCAACTGCGTGCGTGGCCTTCGCCCCTCCTCTTCCCGACTTCTCTGGGGCTCCTTAACCGCTGTCCAGGCCACTCGCCTTCCTAGCTGGCCCTTTCCTTTCTTCTACCACTTCCCTTACCCAGCCAGCCTCTGTGCCTGCTAACTCTCGCGCCTCTCACGATCTCTTTTCTGCGCATCTCTCGGTTGTGTCCCTGGCACCCTCACATCACTGTCTAGTATCTCGTGTGGCCCACTCTGTCTCCTTCTGGTCCCTTTCTCACCTCTCTCTCTCTCTCGATCCTTCCGTCTCCTATCTGGAGGGGTCTTGTCTCCAGAGCTCTCCCGCTCTCTCCTTCCTGGGCGTGCGCTCGGCTTAGTCTCCCCGAGTCTTGGTCCGTCGGCCCCTCTCACAAGGCCCTCTCCTTCTCTCCTCCCTCCCATCTTGGTTCCTCACTGCAGCTAGGGGGGCGGTGGTGCTGGGCGGGGCTGGCCGAGCGGGGCGGGGCGGTGACGCGCGGCCGGCGGGGC